TTGTTGTTTCAATATTGTTGCCTTTACTCGTCCGAGACATCTTTCAGACATTGTACTTTTTCTTTTCCTAAAACTTTGTCTCTTTCTCTATTCTTATTTTGATGTATATTGCAATTCGTAAAGAATATCAATGTTAATATCTTCATTAGTTTTTTTTTTTTTTTTCCTTTTTTTTAAATGAGTTGCTTATTCTCTTTATGATCTGGAAATAATTTCAGTATGAACTTCTTGTAATTTATTGCATCCAGATCATGTTTTATGAAGTTTGTAAAATGTGTTCCATTTTGTATAAAAGCTGAAGATTTGCTATTCCTATTATAGCTCTTTGTAATCACATCATATCATCATGTTACAAGTTAATTCTATGTCTTCCTAGTATGCATTAGTCAGAATAATGAAGATGAAGAAGTTTTGTATCTGATATTGGAAGAAGAAAATATAGTAATGTGGCTTTTATTAGTATCAGATAGTGCTTCTGAAGTAACTAAGAATATTTGTTCTTGATACATTAAATAGTTTGTTCCTGGTAGATATGAGCAGATTGATGCAAGTATAGAATATTTTAAACTTGTATTAGATTTATAATTTACCTGTGTTTTATATATTTTGTGTACACTACTTATTGATGTGTGTTAAGAGAGGAATGAATAAGATTCCCGGGTATATAACCATATAGGCAGATGTATTATTTTGATTTTTTTTCTTCTTCTTCTTCTCTCTTTAACATGTAATCTTTATAATCATATATAGCATCTAATATGCAGAGAGTACATGTTACCCTTCCATATATTAGTGTACACAAGATATCTTGTCCTAGTCAGTCTTCTTGTTTTATTGTTTCTATCTGTTTACTTACTGCACTTGTTAATATGTTTATGTTATAACCTGAAATGTTGCTATTGTGCTTTGTAAAAATTATGTATGGTCCTCTACAAGGTTCACCTGATTTCTTACTAATGTATTGTAAATGTAGCCACACAGCTATAGCTAAGAAATTGTGGTTAATTGTTACCATTTGCAATTGAGAATTATGATGACAAATCATAAATGGAAGTAAAACTGTTAAAGATAGATTTAAGTAAATGTGGTTCATAAAAAAGAAGAGCAGTTATGATAATAAAAGATGGACTCAGCAAGTCCACACTTGCTTTGAGGTACAAAGGTTATTCATTCAAGCCTAGAGCAGAAGCACATTTCATGTAAGGAAGGACATCATCCTACCAGGCAAAGATGGCATTGAAGTCTCACATGGACACAGGTTTAACCCTAGACTTAGGAGCCCAAGGCACAAAATTTCTCCAGTTCCTTTTTTCTCCAAACCAAAATACTATCCAGTTTGAAATTATTATATTTGATAGATTGAATGCAAAATTTGGAAGATAGGGAAACCTTTGACTTGCAAAATTGGAGAACATTATAATATCTTTTTATTAATAGCTTTATGATTGTATTATTGGCATCAGCAACTAATACTTTTCCATGAAGTAACCATATTTTATACAGAGCATAAATTTTTAAATTTAGAAACCAAGTTACAATCAACTTCTTTCTTGAGAATCGATCCAGGTATCATGATTTTTAATTATTCATTTTGTATAAGACAATGAACCATATGCAAATAATGTTTATCTTTGAGAGGTTTTTAAAGATTTATCATCATCCCCATATCCTGTATCTTGCAATGTTCAGTATGCCAATCTTACTATTAACCCACTGCTGCCAAGCAAATGCATTGTCAACTCTAGTTTTCTTTTTTTTCACATAGATGGCTCCACAATTGCTCAGCCACAAAGGAGCCAGTTAGTAGGCTTGTGTGACCACACGTGATTTCCTCTTTCCTTGAGTTTTTAGATAGATTTTGTTGTTAATGCTATTAATTTTAGATGTCCAGCTCATTTATTTTGCTTTTAACCATTAATGCTATTAATTGATATTGAAGTTGTCATTACTGTTGTTGACATTATCATCATTATGATGTTATTAGCAATATGAATATGCAATAAAATTTCCTTGATGATTAACTACTTGCGTAGCCATCTGTGTCAAGAAAAACAAAAAAGTACACCAGGTATGGCATGCATTTTTGCCATCATGGCACCAAAGGGTTAAAATATATAGATACATATATACATGCTGAATTACTAATGCACATATATATATATATATATATATATATATATATATATATATATATATATATATATATATATATACATATGTTTATATATCCATGTATCTATCTATCTGTCTGTCTGTCTGTCTGTCTGTCTGTCTGTCTGTCTGTCTGTCTGTCTGTCTGTCTGTCTGTCTGTCTGTCTATCTATCTATCTATCTATCTATCTATCTATCTATCTATCTATCTATCTATCTATCTATCTATCTATCTATCTATCTATCTATCTATCTCTATCTATCTCTATCTATCTCTATCTATCTATCTATCTATCTGTCTATCTATCTGTCTATCTATCTATATGCATATATCCATACATTTATTGACTCCTTCACTTACCTGTCTAACCTTTCCTTGCATCATGATTACAGTTGTAAAATTTCTTAGTATCAGTGTACAGAAGAGTACTTGGATTGTAGGAGATCCATTATGTTTGTAATCAAAGAAAGTGTAGTTGCTAATTTTTTAGAGATAAATTCATACCATCATTTAGTGCTGATAGATGTGCATAAAATTAAATGTGGATAAACCAAGATAGATATACTGCATTTTTATGTGTCTTTCCATTGAAATATTGTGTTCAGAGATGAAGATTTTAATAATGCAGAACAATTGCATCCTGTTAACAGTATTGTGAAAAAATAGCAATATAGATTCTATTTTAGATTCAGATATTGTGAGGTGGCATTGTTTATGGACAAGAAATGGTATGCTTTTCCCTTAAATGTGTATTTTTTA